TAAACCCTTGCTTGGGCAAGTAGAGGCTGACTTTACATCCTGCTTTCCCATGATATTTTTCTGCACCTGGTGTCATTCCCTAGCTTTGCCTCTGCAGTCTAAAATGAGGTTGGATTTTTATTTCAGTGCCTTTGCAAGGCTTTAAAGCATCCTCCAATCCTTTCCTTGCAAAGCAGAGACCAGACCCGTAATGAGCTGTTTGCCAGCGTTTTGATTCCTCTGTTCTGCTCTGAGCCCTGAGGGGGTCCTTTAGCTCGGAGCCCTTGCCCAGATCTCCAGTGCAGAGCCCAAAATAGCTTTCCCATTTTGTCCTGTTCCAGCACTTAAAAACAGGTGATTCTTTTCCTTTGAAGAATCAGCTTTTAAATCCACGGCTTTGTGGAATTATTCTCGTGTGGTTCGTGTTCTCGCGATCCGGGTCTCGAGGATCTCTTCAAGCTGGTCTTCACTCCTTCTGTGTATTGAACAGTTCCTGGCTAACGATGTCTGTGCTTGGTAGGGTTGTCATCATCTAGTCTTCATGATGCCCCCAGGAGAAGCAGGGGCTTGCTATCTTGCATTAATTTTCCTCTTTGGAAGATGTGCAGAATGAGGTGCAAAAAGTTCTCTTAAAAATGGGCCTGAGTCAAACTTTTCTATACTATACTTCATTGCAAAATATCTATCTAAATGTATATAAAAGAAATATTTTTAAAATATTTTCGTTTTCTGATTCTAAAACACTTTCTAACACCTGAGGTTAGTGCAGGCCTGCTGAATAAAAAAATGGAATTGCAAAATAAAACAGCAGATAGGTTTCTTCAGGGTAGGCTGAAGTGTCTGGGTGCAGAGGGTGGCTGGTATGGATGATGGAGCATGTCCTTTGAAGCTGCCCTCGATTTTGTTGTAGCTTGCTAAGAAATTACACAGAGCATGGGCTATAGTAAGAGTAATATGGAAGTCATCCGTGAGTGACATACTTGGATCAGTCCCAGCAAATGAAGTTGTGCCTCTGGGGAGTGCAGCCCAGGAGCAGAGCCATTGATTCCAGGGCTGAGCTGCCATCCCTTAACCTGCCAGGGCAGATATGTCATATGGGATTTAGTTCCTTATAATTAATAGCCAAACAGTTGTTTAAATTGTACAAATGATTCTTTTGGAGTTGAACTTTTGCCAGTTTGTAGTTTGATTTTTGTTTGTTTGTTTGTTTTGCTTGCAAGGACTCTGTAAAATGGATCTTTTTTGAAGGATGTTGATTCTTAGGCCTGTCTGCAAGCTGCTCACCTAGAAATGGTTAAGCCTAGCACTGCAGGGACTCTTAACTTGATTTGAAATCTGGCCTATGTGTAACTTTGAAGAGGCCTCTGAAGGATCTTATGCTAGTATAATTGAATCCATTAACTCAGATATCTTTGAAAAGGCTAATTCAAGTCAGAGTGTTCATGAATGTGGCCAAGGAGGAAGGTGTCAAAGGCAGCCCAGCTCTTTCCCAGGACATCGAGGCCCTTCTGCTGCTGTTGCAGGTCCTGGAAGCAGCAGGAGCAACTGCAGCCACGAAAGCTCAGACCACTTTTTAGTTGTGAGAAGGTCTGGAAGAGAAAGGCCCGAGTATTTACTTCCAGGTGTGTGAACTTGTCCTGGAGATGCCACCAGGTGTCCTACACCCCGATTTTTGTGAAGGACGCCTGGAGACCAGTGGTTTGAATCTGCCTTGGTCCTCTGGGCTTGTCCCCTTGCATCCAGCATGAGAGCCCAGCCATAGTGCTCAGCACAGCATGCCCAGATGCTGTTCCTGTGCTCCTAATGCTCTAGGGGAAACATCCAGAAGACAGGGGGTCTTTCAGGGATGCTGCATGTTTATTTCATGTGAGGTTTAGCCATGTGAATGCACACAGCAACTGCTGATTGCTTTCAGGTGGTCCCTGCATCAGCTGGATGCAAGGTTCTCCATGGCTGAGTCTTGCTAAATAGTCTCTGCTATTAATGTAAGTGGCCATTAATGCCTTGGGCTTTCCTTACCCTAAAGGTCAGTAATGCCTGTTGGTACAGAAAAAGCAAAGAAATGGCAAGCTGCAGAGTGGAGACGCCAGGAGATGCATCTTTGTGGCTCTTTCTCAACTGGAGTCTAAGTGCCAAGAGACAGAAGTCATATGCCTGATGGTGTGCACACTGGTAAAGCCTTGAAGGATCTGCCTGGTCCTCCTGGGAGCTTGTGTCGCCACCAGGTTGTGAACATCCAACCTTGTGGTGGATAAAGCTGATGTCAGGCAGCCCATCCTTGCCCACTCTGTGCAGTGCGTGGTGTCAACTGTTGGTCCAATAGCTTTCAGCTTTAAAAAACATATACACAAGTGGTTTAGGTGCTCTTTCTTCTGTTTTCCATGAGAATTAGGTCTTACTTCTGAGGAACAGTACAGACCTTGTGTTTTTGGTGCAAAGTTAGAAGAGAACATGACTGGTGGACACTATACTGGCTTGATCTCTAGGCTGAATATCTGCATTGCAGGGTAGGAAGGCTCTTTCCTTGCTCATTTTCTAACTTTGTAAATGGCTTTAGCTAAGCCCCTATAAACTTCTGCTGGAGAAGTGCTGCATTCTGCACAGAGTTTGATTAGCTTGTGCTGATCCAAGACGGTGCTGCAGTGAGAGGGCTCCTCCTGTCCTTCCCCTTCCCCGTTGCCCAATGTAGAGTGCACCAGGCGTGGGGCCCGTTCCTGTTGTTTGCAGCTGCTGGGCACCCTGTCCAAGGTAAGGATCCTCCTTCTCCCTCTTGTGTGTGCACCACAGCTTGCCGTGCTCTTGCAGGCCCTGGGCCACCATGTGCTGCCCTGTCCTGCCGCGCTGCAGATGGGCTAGCTGCTTTCCTGCTCCCATGTTTCCTAGTTTGACTTTCCTCTGCACCTTAAAAGCAGCAAAAACACTGTGGTTTAATAGGCAACATATTTTAATTTGTTCCAAGCTCTGCAGGCTAGTTTGAGCAAAACACCAACATACAGCAGTGGAAACAGCTTCATTACAGCCTGACCCTGTCAGGAACTTTGCTCCCATGACTTTGTGCAGGGTTTTTGCCAATTATGTGCCTGGATCTCCTTGCATATTACGTGGACGCTGAGCCCTGTTCAGGAAATGCATCCTTCAGCTTTCGTTGCTCTTTGGGACTATGATGGCAATGAACTTGTGTGGCAGTTGAGCCATTGGTTTAGCAGTACCCAAGGGGAAATCTGAGAGCATCTAATTGCCAAAGCCAGTTAAAGGGGCTGGGGGTTAAGCAAGAGGATTTCTGTGCAAGGCATCAGCTGTGGTGGGGGCCAAGGGGCATGCTGGTGAACGGGATGGGCACCCTGGTTATGAATAACACAGAAAAAGCAGAGTTGCTGGATGCCCTCTTCGCTTTGGTGTGTTTACCAAGGGCAGCCCTTTAGAGCCCCAGGCCGTAGGGAGAAGAGAAGAAGCCTGGAGAGAGGAAGACTTACCCTGGCTAGAGGAAGATTGGGTCAGAGAGCACCTAAGGAAACTCAATACCCACAGATCCATGGGCCCTGATGGGATGCACCCCAGAGTGCTGCAGGAGCTGGCAGAGGTCATAGCTAAGCCGCTCTCCATCATCTTTGAAAGATCCTGGAGAACGGGGGAGGTGCCAGAGGACTGGAAGAAGGCCAATGTCATGCCAGTCTTCAAAAAAGGCAAGAAGGAGGACCCAGGCAACTACAGGCCAGTCAGCCTCACCTCCGTCCCCGGGAAACCAATGGAACGGCTCATACTGGTCATTGTCTCCAAGCACATGGAGGACAAGAAGGTGCTCAAGAGTAGTCAGCATGGATTCACCAAGG